AGCCTTGGTCGAGTAATAAATACACGAAAGGCTCAGCTTCTTTAATTCGAGAAAAGTGCATATTTGTGTTCGGAAATCAGTTTTAGACTTCGGCTGAGCTATTCTATCGATAGTAAAATTTCCTAAGGTTATGATAGCCTTTTGCATGTGAACAGTAAAAAAAGTGTCGAGATTCATTATGCAGCGCTACCAAATTTCTAGCTACAAAATCACCTAGGTCGTCAATGGTCACTTCCGTTCAAACACCGTGTGCGTTTGTTTGGCCTATGAAAGGATGTGTCCTTCAAGTCTTGACAAACTTTCGTAACTGTGATATTTTTCTTTAACCAACAGCTTTGTCGCTTCAGTGTTACGAATGTTCTAGTCTTGCGCAGGTTAGTGGAGGAACTAGCTGCAGTGCCGACAATGTGAAAAAAGTAACTTGCCCTCCGTTTTATGACCGATGTGTTACAAGGAAGTTTAGTATGACCCCAGAGGTAACAGTCGAGATGAGGAACTGTTCTTCCAGCCTGGTCTGTGATGCACAGTCGGATTTAAATCGTAAGTAAAATAGTGCAGTTTAGCTATATCACCAGTTACATTGTAAACAATCTGCAATTCTGCTTAAACCCAACTCTTACATCTATATGGATCACATTGGCAGAACTATTTCTGTATGTAGTATTACCAACATACCTCGTGATACGTTGTATCAAGAGGCCTTAACTCTTAACTGTGTGAAGAAAACCAACTCAAATTTGATCGCGCGCGCATCTACCGCGCAAAATTTCAAAGGAAAACATGAGACCAACCGCAGTCACTCATACTGTGCGAAAAAAAATTGAAACGTCCACAGAAATCTTTGAAAGGGACAAAATTAAGGAACAGAAAAACTCGACACATTTTGAATTTGAAGCTTATGAAATAACGAGTATCCCGTTAAATCACCATTCTGTTTTGAGCTTGCCGAAAATGTTATACGCTTCTAATTAAAACACCGTGACTTACTGGCTCGAGTGGTTGCTTGTAACTCGTGTGAGACACGTGTTCTGACACCCTGAAAGCACTCCACCAACCAAGTCATGACAACGTTTGCACATGCGCAAACGTGTGACCGCTGGGCTGATAAAAGCCTTACGGGACGGTTATTTACTCGATGTCAAACCCAAATCGCAGTTTTACGCAAACACTGGCGCTTACGTATTTTCTATAAGAAGGTTGTTTTAATTTACTAAATTTCCCTAGACACAGTTCACAAAACTGAATGTTCAGATAAATTATTCAGCTGATTCAAGATAGTCTAAACTGTGGTTTTGTTGAACAATGGCTAAATGTTGCTACACATTGTTCAAGTAATCGGCCCTACGTGTTTTATGACGACAAAAAACCGCTGAAACAGCTATTTCGTTCCCGTAAAACGTTATTTTCGAATATATACATTGAAATTGTTTTTAATCTACAGCTTGTAAAATTTACAAGGCTCAAGGGAAAGACTGTAGTATTGAATGCTGCCAAGGTGACCTGTGTAACAGTGTAGGACCCACTGAGCCGCCCTCTAAGCCATCCAGCGCAGTATTGGGACCTACTTTGAGCCTCGGAGCTTTGTTATTCGCCTTACTTCTACCAAAGATTTTCTGATTCAACTAAGAAAGGCTTTGCGGCTGTTTCCTGATTCCAATTATTTTGCAATCAAAAGCTGGCTTCTCAAAGATATTATTAAGAGGGAAGACTGCAAGAAGTACAAAGTGTATAGTGTCATTACTAGTATATGTTTGTAGCTGATGTGATTGTTAACGATGATGATGTAAGAATTCCCTGCTTTGAATAAACGCCTTTTTTAACATGGTGGAATTGTTGTTTGTAACTAGTTTGTTCCCTGACAGCATCATAGAGGCTTAAAATTTA